CCTCCTAGTCTCCCTTCTTAGTCATGGTGCTTAGCCATCATGGTCCAGCTCTTGCTTCTTTGAAGTCAGTGGAAAACCTTCCATTTACTTCACTAGTCAGGCCGTAGGTGACGGACTGGGGAAAAACAAGGCTACTTTTGACTGACTAGAGTAATTCCCCTAAAAGTCCTGTCAAAATCAAGGTCAGGTAGCAACCCTAAATGGAAATCACCAAATGAGTAAAAGGGACATCTGCAAGGAGCCAGTTCTCTCCAGCAGTAGACAATAAAACAAGTTTTGCTTTTGATCCAGTCCGTTAAAATATGGATGACTGGGTGACCTGCCAGAAAAATAAAATGTGACTGCAACATCCCTAGAAATGCCCTGGGGAGCTCTCTTTCCCCCCTCTGCCTAGATGTATACATACAGGTAAAGAGTAATTGTTTGCAGAGCATAGATCAGCTGTCATTTCCTTGTACAATGTGTGGCTGCATTTCATCAACAAGAACAACATGTCATATTTTCTTTTGTGGAATTTGGCAGAACAACTGACTTCTGAGGTTTGGTGCCCAGCTGTGATGTAATGAGGGCGGCAGCTTAAAATGCAAGGTGGGAGGCAACTGAAAGAAACAATCCAGAGTAAAATCGAAAAGCCAGAGAATGTTGCCTTGAAGGGAAGTGATGGCCTTTTCCTCCCCTCCTCTTCTTGTTAAATCATTGAACATGCAGAATTCTTTCACGCAACACAAAGCTCCCTTTTCACAGAAAGTAAACAAATACGTACGCACACAAAAGCAGAGCTAATTAAGATCAAGTCATATCTCAATAAATATGCAAATTAAAAATCAAAACAAAGAAATTCTATTTATCACATCAGAAAGTTGCAAATTGCTGTTGAGGCTCCTGTAGGCTGCACTAGATGAGGTGACGGGGCTATACGTTTTACATTCGTAGGCCAGCTAACACGTGCATGTGTTTTCATTGTGATAGCTGGGGCCTCACCCACTGTAGCTATATCACCCCTCCCTTCCTCTGTACCATGTCAGCATTCAGTGCTATTAATAAACTGTATTTGCCTTCAAGTTCCCTAATGTAATGTCACTGGTTTTCCCTTCTGTTTACCTTCCATAAAACAATATCATCATTCTTTGGTGAATCTGTCTCTCATCTCTTGCTTTTTCCAGCCCTTAAAAAAAATTGGGATTGGAAAGAAACCCAGTGCTCTGTGCACTAATATACATGCCGCCAGGGTTGTTCATTACCAAGTCTCACAATTTGCATTCTCTCCTGAGGGAGCAAGGCTGTGTGACGTGGAAAGCAGGCACCTCCTAATGATTTTGGCCCCTTCATTAGTGGGATTGTGACCTGCTCCCCAGCAGGCTCCATGTTGCCATCTTTTCGAAGAACCTCTATTCTGCTTGTTTGAACTGACCCATTTGTATTGCTTTGTTTTATGGTCTAAGACACCTACCGTAGACGGAGAATTATTTGGATGGAAAATTCCGCATAGCAGAGAGATGTGAGGGGAATTGGCTGGTTTGGGGACATTGGTAATGCGACAAGAGCCTTTCAGCTCCTAAGTCACAGGTGTGATTATTGCTTGTGATGGTAGTGATAAAACATTGGTACCATCTAACCGCTATTTGGTAGCCCTGTATGTGAATTGAGCTGGTGGTAACAGTCCATTTCCTTGTGAACATGTGCACAAATCATCATAGCTATTACCACAGGTAGTGCTAGTTGTTTGTTGGCCTGCAAAGAAGCCAAGGACTGAATGATGCACGGAGACAGAACACTTCTCAGACCCTTGGAGGTGGACTATCCAAGTCTAGGTTGGAACACATCAGCAGTGGAAGTATAGGGAAGCTTTCGCTGCTGCTGCTGCTGTCTTTGCTGTAGTTACTCTGGCTAGAGAAGGGGAAATTCAGTCTCTGGGGCTGTCAGTCTGTCTCCCTTCACCTTCACTAAAATTCCCAGGAAATAAAAGCAGGGAGATGTACATTCTGAAATACCCAGAAGCTGCTTCTGCCAACAGGCATTGCTATCTGGTTACCAACCTGAAGCAACTGCACTAATCTGAGAAAAATTTCTCCAAATCAGCACTCATGTAACGGATTGAGAATTTGGTCCAGTGTCTCCAAGCTCCATTTCCTTTCTAACAAGTCGCCATGTCTTTATGCACTCATTCTCAGCTGATCTGTGCAACTGGCAGAACCTTCACGTACCTGAGTGACTGGAAAAGACCTTCAGATAACACCACGGAACACCATTCAGAAGCAGCAACTGGTGCAGAATTCAGAGGCATGCCCACTCGGTTGCTTGGGCTGTAAGGAACATATTATACCAATTATCCCAAAGCTGCACTTCACATTTGTTCCTGGGTGCAAATCAAATCATTGACATGCTTCTCTAAGGCCTTGGGTGCATTGGTTTGATGTGATAGACTGCCTGGCTACTCATATAGGGCCTGATAATGCATGCGGCAGTCTATGACAGCCTTTCCATTGACTTAAATGGACTTTGGAACAGGTCTTTCTTGCTGCTGCCATTGATAAGTCCCCAGATGTGAACACCTAGTGCTGTTGTCAAGGCATTTTCCGTGGTGGGTCATCAACTGTAGATCTTGCTTTCATTTTCGTTCACCCAAGCCTGGGTCTGTTGACCATGAGAACGTATTGTAAGGTCTGTCTCTTTCCTCAGGCTTTTGCCTGTTTGCGGGGTGATTATGGCAAGATCTGAGGTTTCGCATTGGGGCAGCAATCTTCACTTTTAATATTGCTCTGCATGTTGTGTATACAGATAGTTTATACAGTTCCCATAGCCTATATTGATGGGGGCTTTTATCAACTGAAAAAATGCATACAAATAAGGTTATGGAGAAATAGGCCTCAGAATTGGTGAGGGAGAAGTTGTTCCTGGATATACTGGTGCTGCAGGTGAGTCTGAGTCTCTTCTCTAGAGCACAGGTGGTTGATTCAGCGTGGGAGCAACTAAATCCCATCACTACATCATAGGTGTCTGAATTCCAGTGTATCCAAGAAGCTTATTGAAACTAGACAGATAATGTTCATAGTCTTTTTTTCTTTTCTTTTTCTTTTCTTTTTTAAAATTTCTTTATTTCTTTATTTTGACAATCACAGAGAAGAAGCAGCATAGTTTAAAAATTAAAGGGTCTGATTTCCCCTGAGTTTTTTTACTCTTTTTTGAATACTGTCATGGTAGACTGAGTAATTTGTGCCGTTCCTGTGTATTTCAAAAAAAAATCGAAGTCCTCTGGCCGTCCTCTGCACAGAAAGCTGAGATGGTTTTTAAGTCGTGTGTTACAAAAATTGTGTGTTACAAAAATCCATGTCCCGTGCACACTTTCACTTTTGAGCTCCTTCCAACCCAGATTTCAGGGAAGGTTGAAGGGAAGCCAGAAACTACAGAAGTGCATATTTTTCATTTATTTGTTTTTAAGCTACACAGACCTATTAAGCAGGTGAAGAATCCCTATACAGTACAACCCTGAAGTGAGTGAAGCCAAAGATCAGCAGGGGAAGGAGTGGGTATTGCTAGATAGTGTTTGTTTCTGTTTGCAAAGCAGCCCATACACAGTTAAGATCTGGAGGCTCAAGTGAGGAAAACCTTACATTTTTCTGGAGTGCAGAGCAGTAAGAAAAGAGATCCATATACCCAACAGCAACGCTCTAAATCTTCAGCATGTTCAAAAACCTCAGATGCTGGAACTGATATGAGACGGCTGAGAGGTGGGAAAGTATTGTGGTAACTGACATGCAAATGAGCAGAGCTCACATTAAAGCTATGTATTGTCCATCTGCCAAGCCATTCATTGCTCCCAACCTGGGACAGATTAGAAGCACTGACCTAGTGTGGAAGATTGTTATTCCTTTCCCAATCCCCCAAAGCAATTCACTCTCCTACCCTGAGTCAGATTAAAACCAATGATCTAGAAGTAAATGACTGTGTCCCAGTTCCCCTGATTAATCCAGTCTCCTGACCTGGGCTGGATTGAAACTGCTGACCTAGAGATGAAGGACTGTATCCTGTTTTCTAGCCCCCACAAGCTATCCGGCCCTCTTTCCAGAATGAAGGCCAGATTGGATTAAATGGGAAAGGCTTCCTATTCCCCGAGCCATCTGTCTAGTGGTTACAATTCATTCAGAAATATTTCATTCAGATATTTTTAATACAGAACATATTGAAATGAGCTTTGTGAATTCAAGTGTACGCATAGAACAGTTGTGACCATTCTTGAATGCAAATTGCGAAGTAAGCTTATGGAGATCTTGAGGGAGCCTCAGCTGGTGTGACACATACTTTCAGAGAGCCAGAATAAGATGTAAATGACACCATCTTAGATTGTCTGTGGATTCCCTTAGACTCATCTCTGAATTTGGCCCTGCTTCACAAAGACTTGTTGTGAAAAAAGATCTGTACCTTTTGAAATGACAGCGCTTCAAGTGCTGCAATCCTCCTTGTTCTTGGCATAGCTGTGGTCAATGTCTCTAGAGCTTCTACTTTCTGCTTATTCCTCCTTTTCCAAGTAACACTCTGCCATTACATAGAGCACCATACAAAGATGTCACAGTGCTTTAACCCACATGGATTAATTCGGTCTCCTACGAAATATGGAACAAACAGGATGGGGATGATGGTTAAACGAACAACCTCTTTGTAACTGGATACCATGTCTTCTCCCCCTGTGCCTTAACATGGTTTACTTAACCTTGTAAGCGCCTCAAGACAGGCACTATGTTGTCCATCTGCAAAGCACCTGGCATGCCTAGGGTACTGTATAAACAATAATAACAATAATGTGTCTGTCCCAGGAGGTATGTAAATATCAGACTCTTCATTTTCCAGATGGGAGAACAGAACAAAGAAGTGATGTGACTTTGCCACACTGTCAAAGCCAGGAATAGAACACAGGAGTCCTAACACGTAGCCCCCATGTCTAACTGCTAGACAATACCACCTCACTTTGTTGACATTCTGTCTCTTTTATGATTCCTTGGCAGGAGCAGCAGCACCAACAACCTGGAGATTGACGATGAACCTCCTTGTGGGGAAGATGTCGATTACAATACTGACAGCTGCTCTGACCAGGAAGGGGACTTCTCTGAGCTAGACGAAGAGATCCGGGAGATCTCCCTGAGGGCAGAAGGAGAGGTGGAAGAGGAGGGGGCCAGCGAGGGACAGACATGCGGTTCCAGCGTTCTTGGAGGGTTTTACATTTCCAGCCACCAAACAGCCAATAGCAAAGCTCTCCCGCTACCATCAGCGTCACTCGGCGTGTTTGCTGGGTTTGAAAGCAGCCCTGTGTAAACAGAGCTTTGACTTACCAAGCAATAAGCAAATGGGTCACTGCTCCTCTTTACCCATTTGCCGACTTCAGCTTTGTTCCCAGATGTGTTGCCCCAGTTCTGCATGGAAAACTGACTTCATGTTTATGGAAAATAGAGAGAGAGAGAGGTTCCCTACCCTGTGCATACAGGGAGGGGTGAGCAGTCACTTGTCCATATGGTGCAATGTGAAGACTTAGGGCATTCTTATACATTGTCACCAGTGCAATCACTTTCTCTAATTTAGTTGTCTGTGGCTTCATGCAGATTGTCATGATGGTTGGTCTTTTGAGTGCCTAAGGTATGGGAGAAGAGTCCTTCACCCCAATTCCTTCCCTTACTGTCGTGACTTAGAAAATCTCAGAAGATCTTTTTCTGAAGATTTTTGGCCAGAGTTGAGATATTTGTTTCATTTTTTTGCTCTGAGGTTTTGCTGCATGTATCTGAATTCTAGGGGCCTGATCCAAAGATTACCATTGACGTTAATGGGCTTTGGATCAGGTTCTGTGTGATTAACAACTAGCCACATTCCAACGTACCTGGAGAATCCACCACCACCACCTACAGTAGTAACCAATCCAACCAATAATTAGAATGGAGCAGATTCTCATCTGGTATAAATCAGTGTTTCTCCATTGACTTCAGTGGAGGGATGCCCATATACACCAGATATACACCAGAGGGATGGTGAAATATGTGCAGTGGCCCAATAACTGCTTCATTATATACCATTCTATTGATCCACTTCCTCCCCAGATACTCAGGAAAGAAGATGAGCTTTGAAGCATGCCTGGATGGTTCCCAAACAGAGAGTTGCCTGAGGTTCTTTCATTGTATTTTCTCAAGTATGCATCCTGAGGATCGTCCACGCTTATGGAAACACCATATGCACATGTGTTCTGGCACACCAGGCCAAATGCTGCTCTCAGGCACACTGGAATAAATGGATCAGTGAAGTCAATCAAATGACTGCAGATTTACACCAATGGACCATAGGCACCAATTTCTTCTGGTGCCGGTGGGTGCTCGACCCGGCTCTGCCCCCGGCCCTGCCCTGACTCCACCTCTGCCCTGTCCCTCCCTCCCCCATTCCAACCCCTTCTCCAAAGTCCCTGCCCCAACTCCGTCCCCTCCTTCCCCTATTTGACTCCTTCCCCAAATCCCCGACCCGGCACCGCCTCTTCCCTGCCTCCTCCCTGAGTACACCACGTTTCCACTCCTCCACCCTCCCTCCCAGCACTTGCTATAGCTGTTTGGCGGCAGCAAGCACTGGGAGAGAGGGAGGAATGGAGATATGGCATGCTCGGGGAGGAGGCGGAGGAGGAGGCAAGGCGGGGGGTGGGGCGTGGAGCTTGGCTGCTGATGCGTGCAGAGCACAAGAGATCCACTTCCTGGACACTATGGTGCTAATAAGCGATGGTCACATAAACACCACCCTATACCGGAAACCTACTGACCGCTATTCCTACCTACATGCCTCCAGCTTTCATCCAGATCACACCACACAATCCATTGTCTACAGCCAAGCTCTTCGATACAACCATATTTGCTCCAACCCCTCAGACAGAGACAAACACCTACAAGATCTCTATCAAGCGTTCTTACAACTACAATACCCACCTGCTGAAGTGAAGAAACAGATTGACAGAGCCAGAAGAGTACTCAGAAGTTACCTACTAGAGGACAGGCCCAACAAAGAAAATAACAGAATGCCACTAGCCATCACCTTCAGCCCCCAACTAAAACCTCTCCAACGCATCATCAAGGATCTACAACCTATCCTGAAGGACGACCCATCACTCTCACAGATCTTGGGAGACAGCCCAGTCCTTGCTTACAGACAGCCCCCCAACCTGAAGCAAATACTCACCAGCAACCACACACCACACAACAGAACCACTAACCCAGGAACCTATCTTTGCAACAAAGCCTGTTGCCAACTGTGTCCACATATCTATTCAGGGAACACCATCATAAGGCCTAATCACATCAGCCACACTATCAGAGGCTCGTTCACTTGCACATCTACCAATGTGATATATGCCATCATGTGCCAGCAATGCCCCTCTGCCATGTACATTGGTCAAACTGGACAGTCTCTAGGTAAAAGAATAAATGGATACAAATCAGACATCAAGAATTATAACATTCAAAAACCAGTCGGAGGACACTTCAATCTCTTTGGTCACTCGATTACAGACCTAAAAGTTGCAATTCTTCAACAAAAAACTTCAAAAACAGACTCCAACGAGAGACTGCTGAATTGGAATTAATTTGCAAACTGGATACAATTAATTTAGGCTTGAATAAAGACTGGGAGTGGATGGGTCATTACACAAAGTAAAACTATTTCCCCATGTTTATTCCTCCGACCCCCCCCCCCACTGTTCCTCAGAGGTTCATGTCAACTGCTGGAAATGGCCCACCTTGATTATCACTACAAGAGGTTCCCCCCCCCCCCCCGCTCTCCTGCTGGTAATAGCTCACCTTACCTGATCACTCTCCTTACAGTGTGTATGGTAACACCCATTGTTTCATGTTCTCTGTGTATATAAATCTCCCCGCTGTATTTTGCATTGAATGCATCCGATGAAGTGAGCTGTAGCTCACGAAAACTTATGCTCAAATAAATTTGTTAGTCTCTAATGCCACAAGTCCTCCTTTTCTTTTTCTAGTTAATATTCAGTACTTTTCTTAGGGTAAGGACTCCCCTGGTGGGACACTATAATGGAACCTTCCAGAAGGAGGCAAATGTCTCTCCTCTTCAGCCTGGCCAGGATCCCTAGCATTTTATCAAGGGGAACAGTGTGGTACGCATCAGTGGTGGCAACACTTGACAGCTGCCTTAGCCAGGTTGCAATTCCAGTGGCCATTGTCTATTATTATTTATAGAGCTGTCAATTAATCACAGTTAATGCAAGTGATTAACTGAAAACAAATTAACTGGATTAAAAATAGTTGTGATTGTTTGTGTTATGGTAATGCCGAGGAGCCCTGGTCATTGACCAGGACTGCACTGTGCTAGGTGCTATACAAACATACTACACCAAGACGGTCCATGTTCCAGGGAGATTACAGTCCGACTCACTGTTAGAGCGGATCAGAAAATGAAAATCTGGTTTCCTGAAAAAAAGAGCGAATAGTTTTCATTTTGAATGGTTCAAACCTGACCCATTTTTTAAAAAAAAAAGTGATAATTTTTTAATTCAGGTTTTTTTAATCAAAACTGTCATGGAGATGGCTATTGATACCAAAAAACAAATGGTCATCAGGAAACAGAAAACATCTGTAACCATTTCATGAAAAAAAACAAAAAATCCCATTAAAAATGAATTCTGGCAAGAAAAATTGTTCTAAAAATTGTGATCAGTTGTACTCACTCTGTGTGTCTTTGTAGACCTTATGCAGACGCCTAACAAATTTGGAGTCCTCAAGGAGGCCAGGGGATTCTGCCTGATGGCTAATTGGCGAGGAAATGATAATAGGACAGATGGGCTGGAGTCAGACCTTGTGCATTGCTGAATTCCATCTCTGGGTCAAAATGGTCTCTTTCAGTCCCAAGAACAGGAAATAGCTCAGTTCTCTTAGTATTGCCTGCGAAGGCAGAAGCTTATTTTGTAGAGATTCCTCATTTATTATAGAAGAAGTTAGGAAAAAACACGACATGGCCCTGACTCTGCGATCCTAACTCTTTGCTACACATTAGAATTCACTGTTCACCTCTGTGCCCGGGGCTTTGCAGAGACAAGGATTGCCATTTCTTTCTGTGTCACGGAAACATTTAATATATAATAAAGTAATAATAAAAAAAGGAAAAATCGGTAACAGTACAAGAGTACCACAGGCAACAGATGTGCAGCTCCTGCTCTCTCTAATGTTTCTCAGGTCACATTCAGCGCAGTAAATTCTGCAAAATGTAAGGTACGGGATACAAGGTGGGATTCATTAATTAATTATTATTATATTATTTAGTATAACTAACTGTCAGGCAGCTTCAGTCAGTGGCAGCCAAATAGATGCCAAAGAGTCTCAGACTTTGCTAATGGAATCTTCCCCCTTTATAAAAATGTAATACAGGAAAATTAACCACTATAAAACCATCCAAGGATAAGAGCAATATTTAGAACTTCTCCAGCATCTTTCATTCAAAGATTTCCAAGCTTTAAGAGCCCTTCATGAATTAAGCCTCACAATACCCTTTGGGAGGTAGCTAAGCACTGTGATGAACTCAGTGGTGTTCATCTGCATTCCTCCCTCCAGTGGCTTAAATGTGTGTCACAGGCTCTACACTGCTGATGGAGATTCTCCTTAAGTTCAAATGGCACAAGCCTGTGCTGGTCCAAGAGGCTCTGAGTCCTATCCCTGCTATCTCTGTGAAGTTCCAAATGGCCGCATGGTATGTAGCAGAATAATTGCCAATGGATCCTGTGTTGCCAGTGATTTTTTCTTTTTTTGGTATCACTTCCGGATGGCTAAAAGCACCACCTGGAACCATATTTGATATGTTGCCTGCAAAGAAACTTCCCAGTGTGGGCTGAGGCTATTTCACAGTACGTTGCTGAATGACTTTCTGCCATATGACCTGGACCTGGACCTGCTCAATGGGAGCTTACTGTTTGGATTGAAGTCAGAAACACAGCTCCTTCCTATCCTGCTGAGGTTCCAGTATCCAGGTTTCTAAAGTTTCAGCCCCACACAACAGCTCTGCAAGTCTCAATCTGTCGTTCTAATTCAGCTCAAAAGACAGGCTGCCTGGGTTTTCAGAAGATGAGCTTCTTAGACAGCACTAATTCATTAGGCATGATGTCTGCTATCACTGTACAGATGTCCTGTTCTGCTTGCTTCAGCATGCGGCTTGTTGCACATAATACTGATTTTTGATAAAAGGATGGCTCACAAGAATGGACACAAAGGAAGTAAAACACGTGTTCACACTATAATAGGATGTATAACATTGCTTCAAAGCTTATTAATAAGAAAGATATGAGTATAGTTAACCTCAAAATCCAATGTTCATATGCATGACAAAGCATGCACTTTGTAGCACACACAGTGTGCCAGGCACGCACTGCAGTACAAACGCACAGTACAACCCATGCTACAGGATGTTCAGGAAAGCTACAACACAACTCCACAATACAATACAAACATGCCACAGTACAACCCCCAACATGACACCCACCCTCCCCCCCCACACACAAACATGCTATCAGTATATATTTCATCATGGACACATACCACATCGCATACACACACTCTTTCTGCAACGCAGAATATGTACCACCGCACATTGCAATGTACTGAGGCATCAGGACTTGTCAGTTGTGTGGGTTTCCAATGTAAGGGAGAAATCCTTCTGCATCACAACATCTTCAGCATTCTTGATAATCTGACATTATTAATTTTGTGAAATAAACACTATGGGCCGAATCATTCCTGAAACAACTCTATTAAAATCAGTTGAGTTACACCAAGGATGAATTCATCTCTGTGGGCAAAATTCTGCCCTCAGTTACACTCATGCATTCTGTACCCATGCCATTGACTCCAGTGGACTTGCCCAGAGGTAAAACGAGGCAGAATATGGCCCCACACACAGGTATAGGGCCAGATAGCTAGAAGCAGCCCATAGGTGCTGGAACTAGGGGTGCTGCAGCATCCCCTTGCTTGAAGTGGTTTCTATTATATACAGGGTTTACATTTTAGTTCAATGGCTCTCAGCACCTCCACTATAAAAATTGTTCCAGCACCCCTAAAGCAGCCTCATTCTGTGCTCAGCATTATTCAGAGGCCCATAGTAGGGGAGGCAGTTTTGCAGTGCATTTGATGTCACTTCAATGTCTGACTATCGGAGTGCACCAGCAAAGCTGGCAGTGAGTTGTCTCAAGTATATCAGTTGCACCTGGAACATTGTGGGCACAAAAACAAAAGCTGGGCTGGGGCTTCTTTAAAACTTCTTCCCGCGTGCCGCGCAAATGAGGAATTGTTAATACGTGGTTAGACGTCGGTAGCAGACGATGAGCAGAAAACGAGATGAGAATAAAGCACAACAAGAGTGTGTGGCATTTTGTTGGCAGAAGGCATGGCAAGTTGGTCCTGTGACTAATCAGCAGGGAATGGCTCCTGAAATCCTCCCACAAAAAATCACTGCCCTTTCTGCTCCTTTTCCCCCTCCTGCACAGCTCCAACTTTTGACTTTCACAGGAGGCTGTCACTCCTTCCCTCAGCCAGCCTCTAGAGGTCAGGAGAGGGCCTCCATTGCAGCTCAGCCGGCGCACTCCCTGTTATTAACATTCTCCCTGAGTCATGGTAATTAAGCGGTACTAGGCTCCACACAGAGGAACGGAAATGCATTGACTTTAATAAAACAGAGTGTAAAACAACTTTAGATTAACTCCAGCCTTGTTTATTCTCGTGCACTTGTGATTCTGCTGCGGTATTTCCCCAGTGAATGGGACCGTTGTCCGCAGCGCTGAGTGGCGTCACCTTACTTTAGCCCAGGGAGCACTGTCTGAAGGGCCTTGTCTCACTGTGGCTGGCTATTACCAAGAAATTTAAAGCAACGAGTAAAGAAAAGAAGGGGAGGAAAGTCTCCCAGCCCCTCGAGGTTTTCATTCCTCAAGAGTCAGCAAAGCTGTCAGATAGAGATGCAAACCAAATATTTCCATTACAGCCAGAAGAGAGGGAGAACTGGAGGTGAGCAGTTAGCCCCATTAATACGCTCGTTTGTGCCCCTGCCAAGAGTGTATTAACGTCTTCTACTGACTTTCTTTGTCTCGCAGCCACTTTCAACGGCTCCCCCCGCCCCGACACGACGCAGTCAGAAGATGCAGCGTTGAGCAGCTCTCACACTGGGTCCTCTGTTTCCTCAGCCTCCCCTTTCTCCACAATGAATTTTGAACTTCTGCAACAATCCTGTTGACGCCCTGCCAGAGCCTGGGGAATTAAAATAAAATAAAATAAAATAAAATGAATAAAAAGCACCTCTGAAGTCAGGGCTAAAAATAAATAATTAAACAATAAAAAGAAAAAGAATCAAGTCAGCAAGCTAAAGGAGGAAACAAAATCTAATTAGTTTTATCTGCAGTTTGTTATTGGGCTGTCGGGCTGCTTTGTCCCCTGCTTTTAAAGCACTCTGGAAAATAACAATTATAATAAGAAAAAAAAATGGCAGCGTGTTATTTATGAAGTGAGCGAGCAAGAAGCAGAGCAGCGAGAGGGAGAAGACAGCAGTTCCTGGCCCCCACTGCCTTCCCACAGCTGGTACAGGATACAGACACAGAGATTCTGGGCTCTATTTCTTGTTCTCTCTGTCCTTGAGCAAGGCCCTTCCCTCCTCCGATGCAGAAAGAGGATGGCCGGCCTGTGGTTAGGGTGCTAGCTTGGGACTTGGGAGGTCCAGGTCCTAGTCCTACTCCCTTGGGTAACTCACTGAAGCTCTCTGTGCCTCAGTTCTTCATCTGTAAAATGGGGATAATAGTACTGCACATGGGTGCAAATTATTTTGTGTTGCGAGCCTCGAAGGCTTTGAGATCCTTGGATGAAAGGTGCTAGAAAAGGGCAAAATACTGATGGTTGTGAAGTAGCATGGCTGTTGCTTCTAAATGGATATGAGCCAGTTGCCAGTTTAACAGCACATATTGATG